ATTTTTTGTGCATGTGTGATTTGTGGTCCTGGCATGTTGGCAGACTGCAGTGCTGTTCTCTTTGATTAGGTCAGCTATAGCCTGCGGCGTCTCACAACACTGGAGTCACAGAACCTGTATATCGGCCCCCAGACCCAGGATTGGCTCAATAAGTCCCTAGAACAAAGCTCACTGTTCCCAAGCACAGATGTTCGGCCTGACCCCAACAAAGGAGGCCTGTGGGTCACAAGCTTCTTCACATACAACTGCCTCTGTGTGAGTATGAGCTTAACAAGTAGTTCAAGTTGGTAGCTGCGTAAGCTGCAAAGGAACAAGTAAAGGTTTATTCCATGCTGAAAAGAGAAGAAAAAAAACAACATTTCAGCTGTGGAGCCTTCTTTGGGTGTGAAGGTTCCACAGCTGAAATGTTTTTTTTCAGCATGGAATGAGCTCAACAAGGAAATGCATGACTCCCAGCTTTACCTGGACTACTTTCCTCTGGCACTGTCGCCATGATCAATTTCTCATATACAGTGTTGTGTAAAAGTGTAGGCACTGCTGGTGAAACTGTTTCAGTGATTCTCTAAGTGAAAAGAAGTTGACACAACCTCTGCACAGTACGACATCTTTTTGCAACTTTTAAAGCACAGTTAGTATTTACAGTTTTGTAAATATTCAAGATGACAAAACAGTGAATATGACATATACAAAAATTTGGGCAGGCAGTATTTAGTAAAACCTCCATTGGCAGAAATCACAGCTTGAAAAAATGTTTACTGAAGCCAGCTAAGAATCTTTCTGTTCTTGCTTTTGGACTTTTTCCCACTCTTCCTTGCAGAAACCTTCTAGCTCAGAAATATGCTTAGGTCTTCTTGCATGCACTGCATGTTTGAGATCTCCCCACAGATTTCCAATAATATCCAAGTCTGGGGATAGTGAAGACCATTCCAAAACCTTAATCTTTTGTTCCTGTAAGTACTCCGTGGTTAAATTTGAGGTATGTTTTGGGTTGTCTTGTTGAAATTTACAACATTTTTTCAGCTGACATATTCAATGTCTTTAATCTTTTCTTCACTGACTCTGGGACATTATCTACTAAGATTTCTTGGTATTTAGTTAAATCCATTCTTCCTTCCACCTGCGCAGTATTTCCTGAGTTACTGGTGGCCACACAACCCCAAAGAATCATTCACTCCCATGCTTAATGGCTGGCAACGTCATCTTTTCTTCGACTATTTCATTAGTTTTTTTCAAAATGTATCTTCTGTGGTTGTGTCCAAAAAATTCAATTTTTGTTTCATCAGTCCACAGCACTTTGTTCTAAAAGGTTTCTGGCTAATTTGGTTTGCATTCTCTTTAGATGTTGACTTTTATGATGAAGTAGTAAAGTAGGTTTCCTTCTGACAACTCTCTTGTGCAGATTGTTTTTGTGTAAGCAATGACTCCAGTGTCAGCTAAACTTTTCTGCAGATCTTTTGAAGTGACCTGTTGGTTCAGCTTTGCAGATCTAAGTAGTATTTGGTGGTTCTGTAAAATTTTTCTGAATCTTACACATGACGCCATGACTTCAACAGTTTCCTTTAACTTCTATTTTGTCATTGTGTTTATCATAGTTGAAATTGCTGGAAGCATTTAGAAACATTTTTATCGCCTTTCCCTGCTTTGTAAGAGTGAATTATTTTTATTATCGTGTCATCAGACAGCTGCTTAGAGGAGCCCCAGGTTGTTGAAAGTAGGCAGAACAATAATCACAACCTGAGAGGTTAGAAGGGTCAGAGTATTTGTTGAACCCTGGAATTGTCTTCACCTGACTTAATTTGAGACCAATCAAGTTGTGGGACTTTGCAGAAATTGCAGAAGTAATAATGAACCAACTGCAAGTGTGCCCAATCTTTGCATATGCTCTGTTTACTTTTTTACTTTTTTATTTTTTCAATCTGTTTAAATTAGCAAATGAACAGTATTTTTGTATTATAATTTGCAGATGTTGGTTTTAACTCTGTACCATGTAGAGACGGTCACCTTCTGTTCATCTAGAGATTTGTTAAAACACATTTTAACCCGGCGAGTCTAAACTTTTGCACACATATGTAGTTGTTCACCCTTGCACAGAGTACCTAAATTAACATTCCCAGTCAATTTGGAACTAATTTAATTCATTGCAACGTAATATATATATATATGTATGTATAGTTCTTTTAAGGATTATCTGCTAGCAAACTATGCAAACTTGTTATGTCATCGAACATTTTATGCTTTAACAAAGAAAGGACTTTACTATACAACCTTTTACCACATCTTCTCTAACAAATAAAGGACTAACTATAGTATGAGCTTTTATTAGCTTGGTCAGAGGTGATCATTTAATATGCAGATGAACATTTGTGTGCCTCTTCTTAGGATTCAAAGGACCTGTACAGCGAGTGTCTGCGCACATTCTGGAGCTGCCCTCACTGTGACCTGTACATGCCTCTCACACCACTGGAGCGAATGCACCATGAGGCCACCTGCAAGCCAGCTGGGGCTGGGGAAGTGAAGCCTGAGGAAGGTGAGTTCACAGAGTCCGTGCAAATCAGTGGAAAGGCACAGCCCTGCTGAATGTATCGGGAAGTGTGATGGGAAAGTGGAAATTAGCATAGCATTTAGTGGTAAATATTTTGGCGAGGCTCATAACAGAAACTGATCATGTTGGCTGAAGCCCCTGTTTTTACGATGCTGCACCTGTCTCTCTGTAGGCAAGCCAGAAGCTATCGAAAGTAAAGCAGACAGTTCCTCTGCCTCCTCCAGCCTGTCCAGGCTCTATCACTGTGACGTCTGCAACAAGGACCTCTTGCTCACCTCCACAGAGATATTGAAGCACAGGAGACAGCACTAAGCCCATCAGAAACAGCTTGCTGCTGACACTAGCACATAAACACAGAAATCGCAGGCTGGTGTTCCTTCAAGGAGAAATTAAACCTCTGTGGGTTTTCTAATGTCTAATGACAGGAAATGACAAAGGCCTAAGCCTGAAGAACTACCAAGTGGTTGTTACACTTCACAATGGTAGGGTACTTTATCACCTCTTTGGAACTTTAGTCACAGATGAGATTAAACATTTTCTGGGGAGTTAATGTTTGTTGTAGATTAAATATGTACATTTGTGTATGTATAAGTTATGTTAAATATGTTATGTTTTAATATGTTTCAATGTTATGTGATTAGGATAGGAAAGATCCTATTTTGGGGGAAAGTTGACAGTTGACCTACTATTTGCATAACTTTTTTATCCAGTTGCAGTTATTCCCTAAGAATGCATGAACAGCTTTGTCGGTACCTTAAATACGTTACCAATCCAAATTTTCAAAGCATATAAAATGTAAATGGCTGATATGTCTGCACTTCTAGAATTTATGGATTGCTTTGAATATTATAAAGCAGAATTGTTTTGTGTAAATAAACTAATGTTTGAATTGTAAAATAAACACAATGAATCATGGAACATTCTATGCCAGCAACATGTCTGCATTCAACACAGGGAAGACCTAACCAAGAGGAGGATGTTATGGCACGACAGGTTACTGCCGTGTAAGAGCAAAGGACCCGACAGAGGTGGAACTCTGAAGGAGACCAACTGAATGAGGGTTAGGATGCTGCAGCAGAAAGGGAAAGTGAGAATAGAAAGGCGAAGAAACTGGCCCAGGCGATGCTAGCAGTCTGCATCCCTGGTGACCAGAGAGAGAAAGCTAAGTGCCAACCTCTACCTGGACTGCTCATTCCAGCCCACCGGCCTGACCATCAGTGACTTGGAGTTACCTGTAAGAAAGTAGGTAAAGTGAAAGTGATTTCAGGAACCATTTGCGGATATATGCCGGTGAGCGGTATATTATTTTCTTTGTTTGCCGGCTATTAATTTTTTAAAATGTCGAAACCATGGATGGTACGCCTCAGGGATTAATAGTGTAATCCAAAAAAAAGAGATGCTGGGCACACCGTGATCTTGACATGCAGGTGTGAAGTAGAGTTAACAGCTTCTGTTTTAAAAGGTTTTGGATTTGTGTTAAGATTTTTATCAGTTGGAACTGGAAATACAAGGGCGAATATGATTGAGGTTCTACTGTTTAAAGTTTAACCTTTTCAAGTCATGCAATGTCTAAGTTAGGCAGGAACATGCCATTGTTTATTTTTGATTTTTTTTTTTTTAAATCCGCTTCCCACTTTAACCTTGCTGTTACTATAGTGGGATTGTAGCATATCTGGGGACTCGTTTGTAGTGGTCCTTTGTATTGCAGGTACTGCGGGTAATTGTGGTTTAGCGGATTTTATTCTGCGCCGGGTTTTGGAGCAGGCTTTGGAGTAGTCCAATTTCATTGTAAATATCTGCATCAATTTGACTCAAACCACAGGAATTTTAAAATTTTCACAACTTTCATATAAACAACATCTAGTAACTGGTTCCAGTTTTAAAAAGCCTTATTTTGAATAAAGCAAATAAAGCGAATCCCAGGTGTAAGCGAAACCAGAATTACTATTCCTACGTCTGCGAAACACCTGAACATATACTTAAAGCTTTCAGTGCTTTGTGTATATCCCAATCGCAGCAGGGGGAGGGTGTGTGGGGAAGGTTTAGGCTGCAGTTAAATTTTGGGCTCTGTATTCTTCTCAGCATTTTTTCTCTGAAAGCATTTTTCTTCCCTCTTTAGTTATTTTGCAGCCTACGCATGCTGAGTAGCATGCTTGCATGCTGATGCAGCTCCTTATGTAAATTCTCGGTTCTTGACTGAGGCTTTGGAGAACTTTACAACCATTTTTATTTTCTTTATGATGCAAATTTGAAGTGTGATGACAAATTAAACCAATTGTAAATATGACATTTACATTGGCATTTTTATTAATTTTATATATCACAGTATATTTGACATTCACAATCACTTAAGCGTATGGAGGAGACGCCCCCCCTAGGAAAGACTGACAAAGCAATTGGAAAGGATTAAATATCCAGCCATTGCAAAGGGTGCAACTGCAGCAGCCACAAATAAATAAAAAATAATCTTTTTTTCTCCTGATCATAATTGTAACAAATTGTCACGTTTCACTTCCTTGTGTACTAACAATCATAACATTCTCATCCAAAGTTTTTTTTTTAATTTCGAAACCTTGGCTGGTATACCTCATGGACTCAATCATAGAGTAATCAAAACAAAAGAGCTGCTGTGCGCACCGTGATCTTGACTTGCAGGTGTGAAGTAGAGTTAACAGCTTCAGTTTTTTAAAGGTTATTAACAATTTCTTCTGTATCGCAATAACATTGGAACGTTCTTGCAAGTGTTAAAAGAGGCGATATACATGTCTTAAGTCTACAGAAAAAATTCCCCAGAGCCGCACAACATTTTCCAACATTGCCCTTCTTCTGCCTAATTTCCAGGGAGTAACCCTGTTACAAAAGGGAATAGCGCATCAGTTCTTGATTATGCTTAAACAGTACATACGATGTCTGGTGGAGTTTCAGCGTTCACTTTTCTGTAATCTGTACAGAACCGCGACCTCTCATCAATGTTTGGTACCAATAAATAGGGGGACTCCCTCCTTTGAACTAAACTGCGCTCCAGTAAATAATTTACAGTATATCACCTTCTGCAATGCTTCTAGTTTATCAGGATCTGCGTGATAAGCCCATTGTTTAATGGGGTTGACATTACCCACGCCTATATCACTGTACGACACAGGAGTCAGCGTGTCTGTTAATAAAACAGAACACTCTCCATTAAATTTAACTACTGCATAATTTCTTTTTCTGTTTCAGCTAAATGAGGGGAATACAGTGTCAAATCAGGATCTCGGATGTTAATAAGCGAGTGCTTTAGTGTAAAATATTTCGCGTTGGCATGTAGGCATTGTACATTAGTAAACAACAGTCACTGGCTCAGTTACGATACGGTTTCAACATATTGATAAGATGTTCTCTGGATATTGGCAATTGTAAAAATTGTCTTGATTGTTTCTCTCTCATACTTTTTGGTTTGGGGAACATGAATTTTGGGGCCCAAGTCAGGTTTAGGACGAGTGGTTTCTTGCTCCGTTCTGAAAATTTTGTTTTCGGAAAGTCTCTGGGGCCTGGATGGCACGGTGCACCACTCAGTAATTGTAACCCAAAACTGTCAGTTGGACCAAAAGTTGTAACCAAACATGATTGAATCTCATTCAATTGCAAGAGCTTTGATCAACTGTCTTGTTTCCCACTCGTACTTTTTGATTTGGGGAACATATCAAAATCTGATTACCAGAGAGGCTCAGATATAGATCGCGTAAATGCTCAGTTGACACCCCAGGTGGTGTTAGGGTTAGGATTCAGACACTACTTAGACAATTTATAAGCTTAGCACTGTATTTAGGGACCCAAGTCGGGTTTAGGACTGGTGTTTTTTTTTCAGAAGCTCTGGGGGGCTGGATGGGGAGGTAGTTGTATCAAGAAACTGAGTCGGTTGGATCAGAAGTTGTCACCGAGCATTATTGAATCACATTCAATTACAAGAGCTTAGATCAATAGTCTTGATTGACCTCACACCTGTTTTTTTTTCTTCTCTTTTCAGCATGGAATAAACCTATTACATGTTCCTTTGCGGTCTTGATTGTTTCCCACTTGTAGCTTTTGATTTGGGGAACATGTCAAAATCCCATGACCAGAGAGGCTCAGATGTAGATTGCGGAAATGCTCAGTTGACCCCCGAGGTAGGGTTTGGGTTAGCATTAATACAGTACTAAAACAATTTATTAGCTTAGCATTGTATTTTGGAGCCCAAGTTTTAGGTTAGGTTTGGGGCCCAGGTTTAGAACGAGTGGTTTTTGGCCCCTATCTAAAAATTTATTTTTCGGTAACTCTGGGGGGCCTGGATGGTGTACCGCATGGTAGTTGTATCAATTGGTTAGATCAGAAGTTGTCACCAAGCATTTTGGAATCTCATTTAATTACAAGAGCTTTGATCAACGGTCTTGATTCTTTCATACTTGTGCCTTTTGATTTGGGGAACATGTAAAAATCCCATGAACAGAGAGGCTCATATATAGATAGCGGGAATGCTTAGTTGACACCCCAGGTAGGGTAATGGTTAGCTTCCACAATCTCATAAGACAAATCTAATGATCAGTGTTGAATTTTGGGGCCAAAGTCAGGTTTAGAACGAGTGTTTTTTTTTTCCTTATCTGAACATTTTTTTTTCAAGAACTCTGGAGGGCCTGGGTGGTGCGGTGCACCGCATGGTAGTTGTATCAAGAATCTGAGTCGGTCGGATCAAAAGTTGTCATCAAGCATTCCTGAATCTATTTTAATTGCAAGAGCTTTGATCAACGGTCTTAAATGTTTCCCCACTCGTGCCTTTTGATTTGGGGAACATGTCAAAATCCCATGACCAGAAAGGCTCATATGTAGATTGCAAAGTGCTCAGTTTACACCCCAGGTAAGTTAAGGGTTAGCTTTTACACTCTACTTTGACAATTTATTTGCTTACCACCGTATTTTGGGGCCCAAGTCATATTTAGAACAAGTGATTTTTTTGTACTTAACTGAATTTTGTTTTCAAAAACTCTGGGGGGCCTGGATGGTGCAGTGCACCGTACCGTAGTTGTATCAAGAAACTGAGTCAGTCGGATCAAAAGTTATTGTCACCAAGCATTACTGAATCTCTTCCACTGGTGCCTTTTTAATTGGGGAACATGTCAAAATCCCATCACCAGAGAGGCTCAGATGAAGATCGCAAAAAGCTCAGTTGACACCCCAGCTCAGTTGAGAGTATGAATGCTGATCCTTACCCTACCTGGGGTGCCAGCTGAGCATTTCCGCAATCTATATCTGAAGTTCTCTGGGCATAGGATTTTGACATGTTCCTCAAACCAAAAGAAATGAGAGGGAAACAATCAAGATCACGGATAGAAGCACTTGCAGTTGAATGAGTTTCAATCATGCTTGGGTACTTGTGTGATCCGACTGACTCAGTTTTGGAATACAACTGCCCTGCAGCGCATGGCGTCAACTAGGCACCCCGGAGTTTCTGAAAAAAAAATTTCAGCTAGGATCACGAAACCACGATTGTTCAACTTGACTTGGGCTAAAAATCCATCCCTGAAAATAAAAATGCTCTAAGTAGTGTGTGAATGCTGATCCTTGCCCTACCTGGGGTGTCCACTGAGCATTTCCGCGAACTCTAGTTGAAGTTCTCTGGGCATGGGATTTTGACATGTTCCCCAAACAAAAAGGA